CAGGTACTTACTGCTGGGAAAATAATGCTCCGACTCGCGCTCTTGACATGCTTTGCGACCGCCCATGCATATCTTTGGCCTTCCCCGATGCTCGATGAACTCGAATCCTTGCTCTTCGAGATAACACCAGGCACCACTGGCATCTCAAGCTTCATTCAACCCTGTGATACCTTTACTTTTGCGCCGACGGGTAGCCGTGGTCCCTCAGGAAGGTCCAACGCCGCAGACTGGATACGCACAGTGAGACACGTTCCTTCCTTCTAGCAGCTAGGCAAACTCATTACATGCACAGGCGTACCACGACATGGCGACGCATAATATCGCGGACGGCACGGGAGGCATGGATGCGTCAATCAGGTTTACTGAAGAGCAAGCACGGGCCGAGGTGTGCTGTGTTTCATGTGCGGTGGAGTCAAGACTGACGAGACCCCCTCGAAGAACGTTGGGGACGGGTTTGATAATACTCTTAGTGTGCTCGTTGGGAGTGCCACTCGCTACGTTTCCGGTACAGTACCTCGCACGCGGGTATCCAGCGGAACCTGACCATTTTTCAACTTCGCAGTTGCTGATGCCCTCGCGCTTGGAACAGTTATAGCAGTTGAATTTTGGTGAGTTCTTTTCTCTCATTGGGTCCTCATCTGTCGATTCAATGCAACTCCAAGTGGAGGTCCACAAATCCCTTTCCGAGGAGGACGTGTAGACGCCACGGAACCTAACCTGCCCGGCGTTCCTAAACCGGAGCAAACCCTCGACTCACACATCGCCTCCTTCGCCAGACAGGGATTTACGCAGGATGAGATGATCGGACTCGTCGCATGCGGGTGGGTAATTTCTTCTCTAAAAACCACGCGTTGATCCCTTGTTTCCAGACACACGTTCGGCGGTGTCCAACATGCTCCATTCCCTGATATTGTGCCGGAGTTGAACGACCCAAACAACAGCGAATCTGTGTCACATTTTGACACAACTAACACACACTTTGATAACAACATGTGCGTAGCTGTGCTCTACCAGAGTCCACACATCGTGATTTCAGTACAGCGCAACAGAGTATATTTCTGGCACCACTCAAAATCCGCTGGTTGTAGGTTTTAACGACACTACAAATTCAGACAAGCGAATTTTCGGCAGCGATGGCAATGTTACCATGCTCTCGTGGGTCTCCTGCACCTCGCGTGCTCCTCTCACGAATTACGCTACAGATTCGCCAATTCGCCCGAGTTATTTGCCTCGCGCTGCTCCGAACTGTTCGCACGCATGCTTGATACGGTACCCAGCGGAGTCCAGCTCAGCGATGTTATCACGCCGTTGCCTGTCAAACCTTTCGACCTCACATTCACCCTGGATGGTGACGTCCTTCAGTTTTCGGGCCGAGTTAGGGTATGGATAACCAATTATAAGTGGCGCGTCTCCTTCACTAATTCTGTGTCTAGTTCTGGAACTTAACCGATAATCCCAATCGTGTGGCGCTGCTTCTTTGGGATGACCACCTCGGAGGTGTTCATAATTCCACCCTGCTTTCCTCGCTGGAGGGAGTTACAAGCTACCCCGATGGAGTAGCTACCTCGTATATCTTCGGCGGTGATGATTTCAGCGGGTTGTCACTCGACGCCGCGGCCGGCATCACGACTATGCGGTTCATGGTCGACGGCAAAGTGGAAGACCAAGGCGGTGTCGGATTCGCGGTGCAAGATGCTGTTGTATTCTCTACAACCTCGTGCTTTTTCGATAACAATAGGACGGCTCAATACAACGTTGCAGTCCGTGTCTTGTGCCGTTTCTATATGTCGCAGTACTGACCCAGTGCAGGTGCGAAATGGTGTGAATGTGACGAGCGTGTATATCGAGACTGAGACCCGCGACCCGACGGGACCTGTCATTATCACCGAGACGGACTTTTTCTCGCCTGTCTCCACTGTCCCAGTAAACTCCGCCTACTCTATTTGGACCCTAAACCTGGCCGGATCCATTTTCACCCGCTACGTTGGAGGAGAGATAGACGGTATCAAGTTCTCAATGTCCCTGTTTACACCGTTGCCGGCCCTTCCCTCTTGCCCAGGTTCCTGAGTCCGCCGCCATAGTGACTCAGACGTTCTTTCGCCGGTCTCATATTCTCTGCAATACCCAATTAATTATCAATGGACGTTGGAATACGAAGCTTATAATATGGGAACGAGGGTACAAGATAATGGGAGCAGCTGTCATAAAACTTTGAATTCAAGCTCGAGATAATTTTTTTGCCGGTAAGCGAGAGCTTGGGAGGAAGCCGTCGATAGATTTGAGCGCCCGGCGTACTTCTGGTCCTCGAAGTGAGTGGCACAATGTTTGAGCTACAGTGTCAAATAGCCAATGCGGCTAAATGCAAGATGGGTCAGATGCGGGAATCTCGTTCGAATCAGTCTCTGCAAAATGATCTCCAAGCTTAAGTTCTACGTCGATAGATGGGCCGAAGCAGAGCGATGGATGTTGCCAAAATGTTAGTCACAAAACGCTGCGCAGGGATGGACAGTTCAAGTAGGGATTTTGCTCGGAGAAAAGCAAGAAAATGGATAGTATGAATCCTGCCCGGAGCCAACACCAGATTTGCTCAAGAAAATTGCATATCAATCAAGGCCAGGTGTGAGATAGCCAACTGCGTCCCTATCCCACAAGACCATAAACTCGCTAATTTTTAGTTAACCTGACAAGTCAAATAGATCTACGAACTTTGAAAGCGCTATGAGCACGGGTCATTGATCTCACCCTTCGATCAGGCTGCAAGCCACTTGAATTAAAACAAGAGAATCGAGAAAACAGAATTTACCTCACGCGGTCAAAAGCCAGCAAAAACGAGTCAGAGCCCCACGAGGCAGCTATGACAGATAGCTCTGCGATCCAGACGATGAACCATCGCTCCGTGATTGCAGAAGCCAGGCTAACATGTAAGCGCGCTTTTGAAATATGGAATGACTTTCTGGGAGAAAAGCCATGTAGCGCTCTGCTTGGAGGCAGGACTCCTGCAGGGGATAAACGACTCGTTGCATGATAAACCAAGAAATGCATTGAAAATCTGGTAGGAGAGAAGCGGGTCTAAGAAGTTCAGCCCCAAGACGTGTACCTAGCGTGAGGTTCGCGTTCCCAGCACGATACTATTCACGAAGAAACTGCCTGCGGTGAAGCCTCCAGCACATGCCGCTACAAGAGAACATCCAGCGCGTCCCGGTGCAGCAAAATATCAGGCGGGCGGACCCAGCTCCTCCTCTCAGCGAAGTGAGACCCAAGTGACATGATCATTTGCCGCCCCGTCTATCCACGCTCCTACACTCCCATTCATAGGTATGCGTGTCTTGTATACACCCACTCAGGCGCAACACGAGCACCGCCTGGCACGCGATGTCGATCCTCGGCGACGTCGCCCCGCATTCCACACCTGCGCGACAACCAGCACCAAAAATGACAGGGCAGGCCAGCGTGCAAAATGGGAAGAAGACTTTAGAAAAGAGGGCAAGAAGTCAGGAGCGACGGGGAACCAGCAGGAGTGTGGTGTCCCGCCACAGTGGTCCGTGCAGGCCATCTTCAAACGTCAAAGACGGAAACGACCCGTGTACGCGATCGTGATCCCGCCCGTCCCGTCCTGGATAGTGCTCATTGACGACCTCCAGCCGATAGTACCAGTGGTGGATCCCCACCACAGCAGCAAGTGACAGGACAGTCTCGCCGCGTCGGCCTTGAGCGGGGTTAAAGTTGCGCTTTCTCCACAACCCGCCCCCGAGCGCACGATCGCGGGCATGAACGGCTGCGTGAACGAAGGAGGGAGTGGACGAGCTACCCTGACTCGACCGCGCGAGAAAAAGAAGAGCAGCTCCAGAGGTGAAGAAAATCCTGCCTTGCCTGCAGGAGTAAGACCAAGCGCAAGAGCGAGAAAGGTGGCTGAGGCGGGCAAGAGGAAGAGGAAGACCGCGTGGCAAGCACGGTCCAGCCTCCGCTGGAGCGTGGCAAACCGAGTTGAATGAGCAGCAAAGGTACACAGCTTCTTCGCGTGTAGGTGCGCCGTGAAAGGGTGTATGAGGACGGTGGTTCTGAGCGAGAGCAGCAAACGGAGACCTGGGGGGAGCTAGCAAGCGAGGGTGATCAGAGACTAGTTAGATTGGGTAAGCGAAGGAGGCAGGAGGGGTACGGAGCGGGGATGAGGAGATAGTAGAACTGGAATAAACGCCAGGCCGAGAAGGGAAGGGAATGGATGACGCCCCGTAGACGATGCCAAGCTTGGAGCAAATCATATAGATTCATCCCGCTTCCTAACCGGTAGAACCACGTCCCCTCCAAAAAACAGAGGGACCGTGCACGATTATCGATAACCCTTGTTGCTCCAAGCTCCAAAAAAGGAGGGAGAGAGAGCAAGAAAGAAGGAAAACGAGGCGCCCACCTAGTGACCTAAGCCAACCTTGCAGACTGACGACGTTGCAACTGCTTCAGATGGTCGATGAGGGCCTGTATTCGCATCCTTGTGAATCTTGCGCCCAGCTGCTGTTGGACGCGATGCGTGGAGATTTACAGGATGGAATTGGGATGGAATCATTAATGATGTTCTCACGACTCTTCCGGTGATGGCCGAAGTTCGAGCCTCTGTAGCAGGTTCGACTCGCCGCCCGCCGTTCGAGGTTGGCGGACAAGTAGAGCGCCTCCCGCGTCCAAATCGCTCGTATAAATTCAACCCCAAACGTACTCAACCACCAAATGGTACACTACCAATGTGGACCTGCCTCAGTGCCTGCTTTACCACATGTAGCTATATCGCAGGAGGTCCCGGTTCGATTCCTTCGCTGATTTTTGTCGCGTTTTCTTACGTGTCTTACCTATACTCGTCTCCTCTAGATCACTGCGAGGCTCAGGCTCTTTAGAGTAATTATGCAACTTTATCCTCAGTCAGGATTCATGCACGGGATTTAAAATTCAAACCACTGCAGAAAAAATAACCGATTGGGCGCATATAAATTCAAAGCCACCCAAAGGTGATCAACCGCCTGATTGCACATGGTGTGCACCTGCCTGTCTGAAAAATAATTCGCGAGTAGACTGCAGGAGGTCCCCGTTCGATTCGGGGTCAGGTGTCATGTTCTAGTTTATAGCTCTTTTTGCCTCATTTTCGTCCATTTGTTTTTGCTATGCTGCAGTGGTCAAATTATCTTCAATTGAAGAAGCTGGTCCAAGCTCCAATCGGCTGTGTTGAATTTTGACTCTTGAGCTCGACCACTCTCAAGTTTGATCCCACAATTTTCCTCTGCTGTATATAGCTAACCTACAATCAAGGTATTCAACCACCCGGTCGATGCACGGTGTGCACCTGGCTGCCTTGAATTGGAAACTTGAAAGTGGACTGCAGGATGTGCCCGTTCGACTCGGGGTCGGGTGATGTTGTCGTCGTCCTTCTTTTTGCCTTATTTTCGATTGTTTTTTCTTTCTATGTTGCAGTGATAAGTTCTCTCCACAATATTGCATGCGGACCAAGCTCCAATCTTCAGCTATAAACAATCGAACAGCATGTTGAATATCAAGTTCAACCAGCCTTCAACCCCTCAAGTTTCCTCTACTGTATAAAGTCAACCTAGAGTCGAGCTACTGAAGCACCCGATCGCACACGGTGTGCACCTGCCTGTCCTGAATCGGAAATATGGTACTGGACTGCAGGAGGTCCCCGTTCGATTCGGGGTCGGGTGATGATTCATCGTTATTTTTCCTGTTGTCTCATTTTCGTCCATTTTATATCCCCTATGGCCCTAATGATCTCCACCGCATTACATGTGGAAGAAGCTCCCATGTTCGGCTATAAAAAAATCAATGGCTGGGTCGAATATCAAGTTCAACCACCCTTCAATCCCACAATTTCTTGCCTATAAAGTCAACCCACAAACAAGGTATTCAACCACCCTGTCGCACATGGTGTGCACCTGCCGGTCTTGAAAAGTAAGGCTTAAGTGCATTGCAGGATGTCCCCGTTCGATTCGAGGTAGGGCGATGAGTCTTCAGCGGCGTTTTGCCTCATTTTCGTCCATTTCTCTTGTGCTTCCGTGCCCTAATTATCCCCAATATTCCCGGTTCAAGCTCCAGATCTAATAGTCGGGTGGCCGTGTTAAATCTCGGGTTCACCGAGCCTTTGACCCCGCAATTTTTCCCGTATAGATTAAACTCGGAACCAAGGCACTCAACCACCTGATCGCACATGGTGTGCACCTGCCTGTCTTGTATGATATGCCTGGAAGTAGACTGCAGGAGGTCCCCGTCCGATTCGGTGTTGCGTGATGATTGATGCAGATGCACTTTCTTTTGCCTCATTTTCTTCCATTTCTTTCTATGCTGCAGTGGTAAACCATATCCACAACATTGCCGGTGCAAGCTCCAGCTATAAACATTGGTCAGCCGGCTGTATGTCGAGTTCAACCAGCCTTCAAGTTTGATCCTGCAATTCTCGCAATAAATTCAACTCCGAATCGAGCTACTGAACCACCCGGTTGCACATAGGGTACCTGCCTGCATTAAATGGGAGGAGAGTTGTCATTGGATCTCAGGGGGTCCCCGTTTGATTCGGGGTCGGGTGACTTCATTGTTGCTCTTCTACCTCAGTGTCGTCCATTTTATTTTTCCTTTGCTACCGTGGGAAATCTAGTATTGTATGGCCGAAACAACTATTCCAAGGTTACATAGCACCAATATTCAGCTACAGTCAACTCTGTCTTAACCCATACCCCTTGATGGAGCCCACTGGGTATGGGTTATTGTAGCCTATGGGTTCTGGCAGAGGTTGAAAAAATTTCACATAATTTGCTTCAGTACCAAACCAAGCCTCTTCTGGATTTGAGATCGAATTGTTTTTGCATGAGATCTTCCTTATGCTTTTTGACCTGTTCTTTGAGTTCACGGAGACCTGAGCTATTCCATGTGTGTCTGCCTTTGTGTAAAAGGTTTTCCAATCATTTTGAACAACCAATGGTGGCCATAACTCATGTCGACTTGATCAATGGGCAAACCCAAATATATCATTTCAAGGTCACTTTGCTATAAAATAATCAGTAAAATATGGGTTATGAACCCTGGAAAAGGTATGGATTATAGGGTAATAGAATTGTATGGGTTTTAATTGAGAACCAAGGTGGTGGACACCCGAAATGTATGGGTTAGAGCAGGTTATGGGTTATGACAGCCATGGGTTAGGACAGAGGCAATTGTATAATCATCAGAATGCCGCATTCAAATTCAAACAGCCTTCGATACCGCAATTTCTTCCCGCAAATTCAACTCCGAATCAACCACCCGGTCGCACGTGGCGTGTACCTGCCTGTCTTAAAGAACTCACGAGATGTCCCCGTTCGATTCGGGGTCAGATGATAGGACGAGACGTTATGATTCTTTTGGCCTCTTTTGGCTCTATTTTTTCACTTCTATTCCGTGATATGCTGCCGTGCTCCACAATATACTGCATGCGGGCCAAGCTCTCATGTTCAACTATAAACAGGCCGCATTCAATTAAAATTTCAACTTCAACCACCCTTCGACCACTCAATTTTCCTCTACAGTATAAATTCAACCACGAATCAAGCTACTCAACCACCCGGTCGCACATGGTCTGTGCCCGCCTGTCTTAGAAAGTAAGGCTTGAGTGCATTGCAGGATGTCCCGTTTGATTCGGGGTCGGGCGACTCAGATGAGATTACTAAGACTTTTCTTTCTTTTTCGTCCGCTCTCTGTGCTTCTGTGCCCCAATTATCTCCGCAATATTGCATGCCAAACGGCCATTCCAAGGCTACATGGCACCGATGTTCAGCTATCAACAATCGGACGGCTGCATTCAATTAATATCTCAACTTCAACCAGCCTTCCATCCCGCAATTGTCGCAATAAATTCAACCCAGAATCGAGCTACTTGACCACCCGGTCGCACATTGTGTGTACCTGCCTGTCTTAAGTGGAAAAGAAAGTGTGTAGACTGCAAGAGGTCCCCGTTCGATTCGGGGTCTGGTGATGGGTATGGGGACATGACGATGTTTTTTTTTCCTCATTCACCTGTATGTTTCGATCTCCGTTCTCTACTATGGCACAACAATAAGATTATCTACAATTGAAGAAGCCGGCCAAGCTACAATTGGCCGTTCTGGATCTAGAGTTCAGCCAGCCTTGGATCCCGCAATTCTCGCAATAAGGTCAACCCAGAATCAAGACTCAACCACCCGATCGCACATGGTGCACCTGCCTGTCTTGAATGATAACACGGAAAGTGCACTGCAGGATGTCCCCGTTCGATTCGGGGTCGGGTGATTTTGCGGATTGATCCATCTTCTTTTTTTTGATCCTCCGCCCTCCGTCTCCGCAAAATTCTTATTATATGTACTTGGCGTCCGGGTTCAAAGTTGAACATCCAACCTTAAAAATTGAACCGCCTAATAAATCATCGATTTCAACACCAAATCCGCCTTCATTTTCGTTCCCCTCAAGTCAACCCCCAAAGAGAGACCCGGTCGCACATGGTGTGCACCTGCCGCTATCATAATGTCCCGGGAACATGTCGAACTCAGTTTTTTTCTTAGGTCTTGTGTTGCATCTCTCGCCACCGATTATACGAGCATGCTTGTATATATTAGCGCAAAATTGGGCGTCCAGTGAATGTGTCGTGCGCCCAAGCGTGGGCCTCAAGTAATTACCCACAAGTTCCCACGGTTCGATAATTTGTTTTGGCCGGAATCACAGATAGCGCATTTACGTATGCTGCACAACAAGCTCAGGGAGTATCCCATCTGATTCAGAATAGATAAGGTATTTTCTATGATCCTGAAGGTTTCACAATAAACAGGAAGTCTAACCAAAATTGTCCTCGCGATACAAAGAATAACACAAAACCATCATTCATGAGGGTCATCTCATACACATTCTCCGTATTTCTTTTCACTCGCCTGTGGCTTAATATCGAGTACCTCACAAGGTTGGCTTGGAGGCACTGCAATTGAACGGGAGGAAGCATGGTTGGATGGAACTTGGGGAATGCGTTCTTTGGATTGACTGTAATCTGTATTTTTCAGTCCGACGTACACCAGTGTGAACGTGGGTATTATGTTCTGGGGGATAGGTAAGCTGGATGAACCGCCCAAACAAAAAATTGCCTGGACTGACGATCAGCTGCTGCTCAATGCCGGTCCCAATGTCGTAGATTCCCGGATCATCTAGCGAGACCGTGACAACCAGGAATATTGCTGCAAGGCAATAGATTGCGCCGGACTCGAGTCTGGAGTCATGTCAGGGGGGCAGAGAACACAATACAAGACCATACATGATTCCAATGGCCGTAGTGTAACGGTTGCGGACTGTGGTGTCAAGACCAACATGCGATGCTCCATTTCGGATCCATATTATCCTCCCAGCTGGGCAAAGATTTCAGCGAATGCCAAAAATGAGAAATGCAACTTGCCGGTGAAACCTGTTAGAAACAGATTTGTTGCCACGGCTAGGCTACCAGAGATTCGTACATCACTAACGCTCAATGGTTGTGCTGCAGCCCCTACGATCCCCGTAACTACACAAACACCGGTCAGTGTCATCAAGCGATGGTTTGAATAGAGAAATTGATTCACCGAAAGTAAATAGCATGAGCAGCACAGGCACAATGACTATCTTTTTGCGGAATCCCCATATCACATAGCAGCGATATAACTAAAATCCATCAACCCACATTTAATACAACGAATTGGAGAAAACTCAACGAAAAGGAAATCTGTCACTAAACTGGTAATTGGGCTGAGTCCCAAGTTGACAGAAAGGAGGTGGGCTTCACCCACTTGTTAATGAAGATGATACATGCTCTTATGGCTGCGAGCACCGAAAATCTGGATATGGACTCGTGCTCATTCAAGACTTGTGCCTGAACATCTTGCTGGACGAAGCGAACTTGAACAACGGTCTCGGCGATGGTGACTACCATCTGCGCCGTTCCCAAAACAGCCATAATGCAACTTATGACTATAAGAAGTTTTACTCCAGGGGATTTTCGGCGACGGGAGAGGAGCTGGATGGTGAGCAAAAACAGGGGGATGTAGATGCCTATGACCCCCGGTCAATTAGCAGCCAGG